CACACTCACAATACTAGAAACAAAAATGACTACCATAAATGGGTGCATAACTTAGAACTTTATAACAGCAAACCTTCCGTTGCTGGCTGTATCTTTTATAATAAATTACCCAATAGTATTAAACAGCTTGACAATAAAAACCAGTTTATAAGGGAACTTAAGAATTTGCTCATAAATAGATGCTACTACTCAATTGATGACTATATGAATGATAAATTCTGTAATGCTGGATAGTTATATATGCTGCATGTGATATTGCATTACATATTTTGTGAATTTGTTGGTTTATAATTTGTTGTAATTTTGTTGGTTTTATAACTCGTTTCATGAGATATGTCCTACTTTAATGTGGTCTGATCTGTGATATGGGTAAATATGAATTAATTAATGTATAGATAATTCTGAATTATTGGAATTGTTACGTGTTTGATGTAAATACTCATTGCATATTTGCGAGTTTATTGGTTTTGATCTTATTGTATCTTGCTAATTTTATAATTTATTAGAGTGAATGAATGTTTGGATAAATTTTGTTATGCTGCATATTGATATATGCTAGATATGATAGTCATTACATATTTTGTGATTTTATTTGTTATGAATTCTCGTACCTTGCTAATTTTATAATTTATTACTTGTGTCATGTTCTACACCTGTGTGGTCCGATCTATAGATAGTAAATATTGAATATATGAATGTATGGATAAACTATGATATATTAGATTATGATACATGCTAGATGTAAATAATCATTACATATCTTGTGTGTTTACTGGTTTAGAATCTACTGTATTTTGTTAATTTTATAATTTATATTATGTGACATGTCCTATATCAATGTAATCTGATCTACAGGATGAATAAACATGAATGAATGAATGAATGCCTTAAAATTGGTTCATAGGACAGTAAAAAAAATTTAATGCCTTTATGCTAAACGACTTATTAAAATTTTAATAACCTCTGAACCATTTTGAAGACACAGTACATTAATAAATTTATTAATACCAATAAAAAAAATCCTAATATAATGGGCTCTAATGATTTGAATTTTAGACAACAAACGGGCATCACAAGTGTTTTAACGTATATTATTTTACATCCTCCAAATGTGTTATATTTTAGCGTCCTGTTGCACTGATTTAAGTCCATGATTTATTTAATCCGTCTTGCAGTGCATACATTCATTTATCTCCTTCTTTCCCTCGCACTACATGTTTCGGCATAATAATGCCATCTTCAGGTGCTTACTTGTCCACGTCAAACCAGTTCATTGCATGCCATGTTCACACATTAAAATAACTAAAATATGTATCTATCATATACATTGTCAAACGTTAAAAATATTAAAATTGTTCAGGATACCACATCGCTACGTCAGTCATGCCCATTCTCCTTTGTTGGAGCACTCCTTCACTATATTCACTATGTTGTGTGCTTTTGTTGTGTCGTGCTCCTGCGACTGCGTGTGTTATACTGTTG